ATGATTTGTTTTATCTGGGAGCACATGGGTGAGGCATCACACTGTACATAATTGCTTTGGACAGCTGTATTAAAAGAGACATAGCTAATTGTTGGTACGTTTGAAGCTGCCTTTGCGCCGGCTGCTGACACCTGCTGCCCCGCTGTCTGCATTTCAAGTAATTTTGAGCAAACTGACAAGATGAAAATCAAATTCCAAACATGTCACGTGGATCGAATTACGGAGCGCTAGCCTGCTTTGGTTCATGAAAATTCCGCACAGCTGGTTTACCCACAGAATGCCTAAACGGTGGAAAAAGAGCAATTACAGCAATTATCAGGCTTTGCATTTCTGCCTGCTCATGGCACAGGGACATGCTTTTTACCCACTTGAAGATAATCGAAGGGTTGTGGAAATATGCAAATCCTGTCTACACGTGTTTGGAGGATGTGGAGAAGGCTAATGATCATGTTCCCTGAGGTGTTGCAGGAGAAACAGCACAGTTTGCTGCCTGCCACCTCTTCCGGTTTGTAATATTCAAAGACAGCAAATTAAGAAAGTTTTGAGGGAACTAATGCACAGCAGGAGCATGTGGCCAGTTTTGTTATGAAACACCACAGTGCCGCCGCTTTCCTTGTAAAGTTACCATCACTGTTATCGGAAAACTCAAAGGTTTTGCAGCAGAAAGTAGTCAATTACCTACACAATATCCAGAAGTTCCCTCTCAGATAAAGGTCACCTGCCCCATCCAGGTGAGAGAGCATGTAGCTGCAAAAAGACCAAGAAGATTTAGAAATTTTTTGACTGCCAGTTTGGAACATTAGCTGCGGTAATGTTTGTGCCGTGTGTGGAAAAATAACGAACGTCTTTTTGACTTTCATCTGCGGCCGCAAGCTTTGGATAGCGACTGTGGCAAATGGCAGGAGGAGGTGGACGTGCTATCTCAGTGGAAAGCAAAAGTCACCTCTCTTTGGAGGTTTTTCAGAGCACAGAGACACGACTCGGTGAAGGAACCTTGAATAATTCAGAGGGTCCACAGTTGGACGAGGCTCTGGAACATTTCAGGGATAACAGATATTCAGTGTATTAAAGCTTCTGTTTAGCTGTTGTCAGGGGATACAAAATCTCTAGCTGTGACTCTGACAGACCATGACCAACTATGAGAGGAGGAACCTGAGGAAATTGCTTGGCTAAAACATGCCTCTGATACTTAGCTCCCCCAAGCATGACCCTGAATAAGATGGGTGGATGGATGGTATTTTTCAAAAGTGAAAGAGGTAAAAACGGTATTTTTCTCCAAACTCCAAAGTCCATAAGCGTATCACACAATGAATTAATCATATGGTATTCTGTGTATTAGGATTAGGAAAAAGGGTGTTTTGGCATCCTTAAGAAAAGCACTGGCATTTATCATCAAGCCATCACAGCCAAGACAGGCTGAATTTACTGCAGTGACATTGTCATTTGGCTTTCCTGAACCCTTTTAATAGCTCCGGTTGTCCATCCAACCGTGCTGCGGTGAACGGAGGTGTTTCTTCAAGTCATAACAGCACAAAGTGCACCTATCAAGCTCTGTCATCGGAGCGAGGAAGGGCTTTTAGACGGATATTTATTAATGTGATTTGCATGAGAGACTTGTTTCTGTCAATATGGGTAACATCTGCTGGAGATGAGAAATTTGAGGCAGTTTTGTCTTTAAATCTAGCCAAGACTTTTGTCTGCTGCACAGCTTGCAATTGTTATCACACTGACAAAAATACACAGATGTAAGCAAGCATTCCCACAACACCCCGAGGAGGAAAACAGTGCATCATAGCTGCTGAAAATGAATGCAGACTTAAATGGAAAGCGGTGAGACATGAAATGCATATGGAAAGAAATATACTGCGCTCTGAGCGAACTGTGTTTTGGGGTAATCTCAGTGCAAAGACGGGAAGATGGTCAGGTCGGGGTTCCTTATTATGTAAAAAATGAATATTTATTGATCACCTGTCTGTTTAGGGAGTTGTGTTTGTATTCTTACCTGCTAGTATTGTCTCTGTTTTCATATTTCTTCATCGACACTCCACCACACAGAGACCCTGCATGCGCATACTTATCTGCAATAAAAGCTGATTCTGATTCTAACTGCTATCAGTGGTTGAGGCCTTTGCAACACAAGATGCCAGAAACACAGGGTGTACTGTGAAGTCATATCTCTGTGCACTGACCTTGTTTACAAAAGAACTTGCAGTAGGATGCCCTTGAATGGTGGGAAGCAGCCTACAATGTGCTTTATGATGAAATAACATTTCTGAGTTTCAGGATTTACAGTTTAGTACGTGCTGAATGGAGATCTGTTTGAAGACCTAGAAAGAATATCTTCAAGAAGAAAGAATGTGTCAGTTACTGTGTGGGCTGGTAATAGAGAGACATTCTTTTGTGCGCTGAGACACAAATGAAATCACTGACCAACACTGGGACATGACAGATGTATTGCATTACTGTGTATATGGGCATATATGCAAATAGAAATGCCAAGTTTTAAAGATTAATGTGATCTTTACAAGCAGATAAACTATAATCAAGGGATACCAAGAGCAATTTAGAGGTAATTTTATTAAGCCAAGCATGAACCTCTTTTAATTTATAATAGTTCCTGCAAAGCAATTAGTTTAGGATAATGGTAATGCCTCAGTAGACTGCATAGGAATTCTTATTTGCCTTCCATGGAAAAAAAAAAAAAAATCTAAAATAAAAAAGTTATTCTTTGACATAAGCTTATAGACAAAAGTTGAATGTCACAAAGAGAGGCTGTAAAGGCTTGTGAATATCATCTTCCACGGAGCTTCCGCCCTGGTGGTGTTAACAAGACATGAGGACTAACTGTGAAAGGTCAGTGAGAGGGCAAGTATGGATGTGGATGCTCAATTTCCAGTGCAGCACAGTAACTTTTCTTCAGTGGAGTTCATTTCCGTTACGGTTGTATTATATATACACACTATATATCATCTGCCTGCGTGCATTTTATTATTAGTACAGGACACATTATATAGGATACCAGGAGAAAATCTGTATTATAGTTCACCTACGTATCTGGCTCTTGGTATTCAGGTCTGCACCAACACAGATCTTGTTAATCACTTTAACAAACATTGCATCTCCTGTGTGGCATAAATCAAAGCAGGATACAGTTGTGGCTCCATCAGTGGGGTCTAATCTAAACGTATCAGCTGGTGTTAACGCAGGGACAGAAAATCCATACCCCTTCTGTGTGTGTGTGTGTGTGTGTATAGCTTGCTGTAGATATTGTTCTACCCTGTGTATGACAAAGGGGCAACGTGGACCAATTTGCAAATAAAGACAACTGCCAGGAGGTAAAGCTGAAGACTGTCAGACAATATTAGATTCAATGCAGAACATGTACTACAATGAATATGTACAGCGTCATATTTTATGCTAACAGGAGTAAGCATCTTAACAGTGGTGACCGGGAATCCTTTTAAGCCAAAGCTGAGGAAGACTGAGAGATTAAAGATGATGCTTTACAACCATCCATTCCCCCCTCCAACATGCTAAATTCAGGACAGATTCATTTTATGGAAAGACATCTGAAGAAGCACTCAGTGCTTACCACAAAAAGCTACAATTACATACATAAAATCAAACATCATTTCTGTCTGGATGGGAGTGGTGGACGCTGGCTTTCAGTAGAACATTACTGCCATCTAGTGCATGTGGCTGCTTACAGGCTTAGAGGCAGCACTGACGGATATACTAGTATATGTGCTCCCTTGGCATTTGATATATTTTCTTGATTGAAAACTGAGGAAGGGAGCAAGCTATGGGTCAATAAACTGTGGTAGAAAAGTGAAAGTTGCTTTTGCTTTTTTTCCCACCAACTAGACATGGTACTTGACTCCTTGTAAACTCCACCTGAGCTGCCAAATGGTGAATAATTAGAGTCTGCTGTGGCAGCTCAATGAATGTGTGCACAGAGTGAAGGAGTGCAGCACTGAGACATCATGCATGTTCAGCCAACTAAGATACAACAGCTGCATTTCTGGAGAAAAAAAAAATGAAAACAGAAAAAAGCTGGAATTTATAAATAGAGAGTTTAGGAGCTTTCCTTGACTTCAAGTTCCTCTTGTAAAGCTTCTGGTTCCCCTGAAACAACTGGCTGTCACAGGGGAACACCTTTTGAGTCCTTGGAAAGACTAAAATAATGTTCTTATTGGAATGTCTCTAAAAAGTCAGGATGTTCTAGTTGCTTTAAGACAAAATGGACTCAGGTTTGCAGTTCCTACAATGCAGGTTTAGTTTGATTGAGCCTCTAAATCATCGGTCTTCACGCCCAATCTCATCCAATCATTTTTTTCAATCACGGAAATTTCAAGACTTCACCGTGATGAGATCTGGCTCCATGTTGGAATGTAAATGAATGAACCTCCAGCAGCCAGCAGAGGGAGGTAATAATGTATGCACTTAGTAGGATTGTGGTATTCAAATCCCCAGGGAGAGATCTTCAGTGAGAAGGTTACACTTTCACGATTAAATCCCCAATCAACTTCGCTGCAAAACTGCAGAAAATAAATGAATAATTACGAGCACAAAGCCCATTATTAGACATTTAGCCACGCAGTGGACCAGTGCAGCGGCGTGGTAGCCACGAGTGTGAAATTAATTGATAATAATGTCACACTTCTTCCATCTTTGCTCATTTGGGGAAGTAAGAATGTGTTTGTTGAAAACTTAACAAGTTAATTAGGGGTAATAATGTTAAGAGGCTTAACATTTACACGAACTTATATTTTTTTTTCATCTCCAAATTTCTGAGGTATTTATGTAGCACAGGGTGTTTACCAGGCTGCTCGCTGTCCCAGAAGAAATGTAGAATTAATGATGCAGCGCAGCGTCTTTCTGTAATGCCGCTTAACTCTGTGCAACACTGTATGAATGTATTTCGCAGACTTACTTCGTCTTCCATTAAGGGTTTTTTAATTACATCCCACCTTCTTCTACGCACACAAAAACAGACACAGTAATAAAGACCAGCTTTATTTTGTCTTCTTACAATAACTAGATACATTAAATGCTTTTTTTCCAAGAAAAAAAAGGGACACGATTGGTCAATCTGCCAGCTGAAAATCAATTCAGAGTTATAAAATTTTGTAAAGCAAACATGGCATCAAACATCGTCGCAATCAGCAAAAAATTAGTCTTCCTTTTTTTATGTTGCTGCACAGAGCTGCTTCTAACAGGAATGGAAAAAGTGCCTCTGTTGTTTTGTCAGACAGTTCTATCATAATCACTTTCTAGGAAAAGCTGATGTTTAGTGAACTAAACCAACAAGTGTGTCTGCAGCTTGTGTGTTTTTCTTTTTGCAAAATATAAAAATGTATTGATGTCTGATGAACCAATTCCCAAAAGAATAAGCCTCATTGACAAAGCTGAAGCAGAACCAGAGTCGGATGTGTTTTCATACAGAATGTCATTGCAAATTGCCTGAGATAAAGAAAATCAGATCCACGTGTGAAGCAACTGAAACTGGGATACTTTAAAGAGCTTTTCACATTTTTTCTGAATGAAAAAAAGTTGTTTTCGTGGGGAAAAAGTTGCATGGGATGATACTACATGTTTTCCAGTTGCAATATGACGTCCACAGCAGATAAACATATACGATACAGTAACATGAAACTCTCTTAAACTACTGTTAAACTTGTCTCTGCAATTTTACCAGCATTTTTTTTTCCTTTTTCTTTTTTAAAACCAGCATTTCTAACAGCACAGTTGTCAGTTTCTCATAGAGATGAATAATTAGCTCTGTTATAACCACCACTTAAATCATAAGTGACCTGAGGTATGGAGCAGTCTGTGAAGAAGTTGGGGAAGGCCAAAGTGCACAGTGCATTGTCTTCTATGGGCCCCGAAGCAGCCTCAGAGTGACAGTAGGCAGGAGGCTGGGCTGGGCCTGTACGAAGGGTCTCCCCTAGTTTCTTAGAGGGTCCTGAGCAGCTAGTCCAGGGCTCGGAATAGAGGAGACCGCCGACTAAATGGTGAGCATCGTAGGAGGCAGGATCCGGGCTTCCCAGCTCCGGCTGCACCCTGAAAGGCATACCTTGATACAGGTCCTGCTCGCTCACCATGTTGCTGTAGTCAGGCCCCAGGAGCTCGAAGAACTCCGCAGCCTCAGGATTGCCTCGTTCCAAGTCCTTCAGCGTCATCCCGGATGTGGAGCTGACTTTGGAGCAGTTTGCAGGCTCGGTAAAGAAAGAAGGAGGCAGATTGCGGTGCCTCAGGGGCGGCTTCTTGGCTTTTTCACCCCTTATATCCTTCACAGGGCTGAAGAGTGCTGCCAAGCTCTTGCTCTGTAGGTTGGCCTGAACCCCATCACGCTTAGGTAAAGTTTTGCTCTGCAAAGGGCTCGGCTGAGTCAGGGGGGAGCCCTGTCTCTTTACTGGGGCCTCTGCTACATTTCCTGGTGTTATAATGCCAGTGCACCTTTTGATCTGCTTCTGAAGATACTTCCGGTGGTTGACTTTCCTTTTGGATTTCACTGGCTTGTCCAGAGCCAGCTTGATATTGCTTGAGGCTGAATCTATGAAGCTCAGCAAGTCCCTGGTGGTCTCTTTGTAGTCCTCGTCATTTTCTGCCTCACCCAGGAGACTCCCATCCAGACTTTTTTCCACATCGTACTCCATCACAGAACCAGGGAAGCAGAAATTCATGAACTGAGGGTTCATGATTGCAGCCTGAACAGCCATTACTCTGTTGAGCCCAGCGGCTACACCTGTGGCATCCACTGTGATCCCTGAACCAAAAATTTCTTCAGAGCATGTCTTTTTTCCTCTGATAAACACTTGGTCCTGATGCTGCTCATGAAGTTCCTGTAAACATTCCAGAGTAGAAGTGACGGGCTCTGAGGAAAGCGAGGAGATCTTTCAGGGGGCCGGGCTAATGATGTCAGAACATCAAAGAGGAGGGGCAAAGGGACCGCAGGACTTAACTCTTTGCTTGTGCCCGACCACCTGCATCTAAGAGGGATTTGTCTGAAATTCCCCGCTGAGCTGAAGACAATAACCTCTGTCAGAACGCTCCCCCTCCAGTTTTAACTGTTTGTGTGTGCTCTGAACCAAAAAAAGCTTTCATGAAACTGGAGGATATTACTGTAACAGTTAGACGAAAAGCCTTGAAAGTCCTGCTGGATGGATTTTTTGTTCAGCAGGCATGGTTGTAACACAAAAATCTCTCTTTTAAACCTACAACTAAATATCTTGTTTGGTTACATTTGTGCTAAAGCCAAGTTTAAACCAAAAACATGCATAAAAAAAAAAGTTAAACATCTCATAAAAAATCCTTCTTGTTTGCTTTACAAACAATTTAAAACACGACAGAGTCTTCACGCCAACTTATTTTTCCCCTGCCTGCGCTTGCCAAATAAAAAGTTAACTTGTAATCTAATTACTGTTCCTTTGGGCACTGAAACAAACCCGGCTATCAAATCGCGGCTCTACAGTAGAGAGAAAGGCTTCTTTTCTGTGGGAAAATCCTTGTGCCCAAACAGATGCCACTATTTGGGAGAATCTTCCCAACTGCTTGCTTGTGTCTTAATCTGCTCATGGCAAAAGTTGATTTCTAGTGCATTCCCAGGCCAGTGGGAATTTCTGCCCTGGCCTGACAACTATTATGGGCTGCCTTTGACATAAAGCCCTACAGGGTCTAAATAGCCTCTATTCTTCGCGCAGCACTGAAAGGGAGCTTTGTGCCAGAGATTCATTAAATTGCACCTCACAGCCCCTTCGTAAAATGGGTCTCAATAATGAACAGTCGATTTAACTAGAAAAGCTGCCGGAGCTGTTAAATTAAAGGGGAATAAAGTGCAGTTCGGGCTCAGTGTGCCAGAAGAAATGTTGACCTTAAGAAATCCTGGGTATGAAACTTCTGTTGTAAACAATAACGTATTTACAGGAAGCTTCTCGGCCAGCGCTGAATACAATGGAGGATGTGTCCAAGAGCCAGACTGCTGCTTTGCCAGCACTTATCTGAATTTAAGTGGAATTTCAAACGCGACTCAAGAGAATTTTTGAGCCAATTTAACTGTTGGACAAAGTTTGACGGACCCCAAAAACTCACTGTTACGCTCTCGGTGTATTTTCTAACTTTTCCATCTGTGCAGAAAATAGAGACGTTTCTACCCGTCGCATCCTTTGATAACATTAAGCTTTCTGTTTATTCTTCCATTTTTATACGATGCTGGAGCGGAACAGTTGAAAATAAAATAACTGATGGTGCTTTCACTGACTCATATAAGGGGTGAAAAGGTTATGCTAGCTCCTGGGACAGTGAAATTGATGGCTGAGAAACAAACCTAAAAGCAACAAATGGTTAGAAAACAAAGAGTTTCACACTATTTACACAGCTGATAATGAAAAAACAAATTGAAACCGAACTGAATTTGTACTTATTTCACACGTTTTTGGGCAAAAATAAGCGCCTGACTCAAAGTTAAGGTTCAAAACTTTACCAGAGCTTTGAATTTGTATTCCCAGCTTCACTAGTTCATTATAGTAATACGTGTAGGAGGAAAGCAGCTGCAGCCACATCACAGCATCTCGTGGATTCGGCGGAGTGCTGAGCTTTTAATGCCTGCCCAAAGTGATTTCGCCTCCCTCTCTTCGCTCGCGGCACAATTTTGGCAAAGTGACATCATCACAGTCGTGGCAGCCATATCCCCCTTTTTTCTAGTCAGGGGGTCTTGGCTTTTGTGCTGGTGGGTCATTCACATCACAGAGCCTGACGCACAGATCCCGGAAACAAGTTTCTATTGTTGCATAAAGGCTGAGAGGGTGAGAGGGGATGGGCTGGGGCAGCTCAAAATATATAAATATATACACACACACAAACACGACTGAGGAGGTTTTTAATTATTTTGACAATTTAAATAGGAAATTGTTTGTTAAATCCCAATAATAGGCCTGTTTTTTTTTAATACTGTGTTAGTCACAAACCCTCCAACTACGCATTACATTTTCAAAAACTCAAACCTTTGGGGAATTTATAAAAACATGAGCAGCCTTGTCCGCCGGCAAAGTTGTTCCATTCGGTTGAGATATTGTTAAACATTACCACCGCACACTGGAGAATTTCCTTATTCAGCAGCACCCAGCCCCGAGGGAGAGGGGCTGCTCACGACAACGTGATGTGACACGCACAGCCTTAATCTCTTCCTACTAGTGTGTGGTCGTCCCCCCCCTCCTCCGTCTGAGCAGGGACATACTCGGGAGTTTGAGGTTGAGCGAATACTAATAACACCTCTGATTGATGGCCGGTGTCAGAGACATAGAAAAGGCTGGCAAAATTAATGACCTCTCAAAGTCCTGAGAAAAGTTTAAGGAGGGCATTTAGTGGCGGAGAAGGCCGTCCTCCCCCATGTTTAGCTGCGCTTCTTTCTACCGAGAGTGACTGAAATTCAGTCGAGCCTGTGACAAAAAATGTTGAGAAGTCGGGCGGCTTTTGTGTCTCCGGGTAGAAAATCAACCCACATACCAGCGCGGGACATGTTTCCCATCTGCTGCACCAAGGTCATGTCATGTCAGGAAGTTTTTGCTTTACATAAGAGACTAAAAATGAAGACAGAAAAGATATTTTCATTAGCAGTCACGTAGGATTTTTAGTATTTTCATGGCATTTGAGGCTTTTATCTCGACATTAAAAAAAAAAAAAAAAAAAAAGGTGACTACCCCGTGAACTACAAAAGCCTTCTTGGTCTCTGCATCCTCTCACCAGCTCACTCTTAACCTTCCATCAACCCTCCTCAACCTCTTTGGCACCACAGGAGCTGTATTAATAATATTACTTGCAGGGGGGGAACAAACCAGAGTCTATGGGCTGCCTTGGTGCCACAATTTAGAGCTTTAATGGCAGCCAGTGAATTAATGCGTGCTAGGGGGAATCCCACAGGTTGGTCCACGGGGGTGAGGTCAGCAGGCATAGCTGCAATAACCTCCCACCACTCACTTTATTGGCCTCCTCCGATTGGGTTTTTATTAAATCTCAAGCACGTGCAATTGTTCTTGCTCGCTGGAAGTGGAACTCGAAGCCTTTAGTCTTTCTAAAACATGACAAAGGGTGCGCTCAGCGGAACATCCACGCATGATGAAAAGACAATAAGGAGGATTGTACGACAGTAAATTTGCAGCTTTTTAATCAGTTTTACCGGAAGACGTGATTCTTGGGGAATGACAGCGTATAAAGAAAATCAGCAGAAGACATAAAATACAGCAGGGAAGGCACCTTTCTTCTGTGAGCAACACAAATTAAGTTTATTATCACACTTTGTGCAGTGAAAATCTTGTAAAAATGGGATTTCTCTTTTATATTAGGTGCCAAACTATTCTCCTGAGACTTTTTCTTTTTGTTGTTGTTAAGAAGCATATTATACTTGGAAAAGAACAAATGCAGCTGAATGACAACCCAAAACTAAGGTGATGTGAACATGGAACAATGAAGCTAAGTGTCATCTCAGCCATGACTGTAAAATCGACTGAAGACAAGAAATCGTGAGCTTGGAGACGGACGGGTCTTAATGGGGTTTGGGAAACTTTACATGAGGATCATCCAGTCTTGTGATGGTGATGATGTGATTACATGAATAAACAAACGTATTTACACCGCAGCATTGTTATTATTGGTTTTCACGTGACTAACAGATGTGATTTTTGCAGATAATACAGTACCTTTAGTCTCCAAGCCCTTGGAAAATTCATAGTTTGGCATAAAGACGTGGAGTGTGTCTAAGTAGGTCAAAGATAATGGTGTTTTCATATTCCAGTGCCAAACATGGCTGATTAAGACAGGAACCGATTAAAAAAGAAGGAACAAACTTTGGCATTATAACAGCACCGTGTGAAATACCATGTCGCGCAAATTAAAGCTAATTCCTGGATATCACGAATATCCCAGTTTGCAGGATTTTACTGAGTTTGGTGGGTTGGTGCAGCTTGGTGAGTCTTTTTAGCCTTTTTGATCCACTGCCGGAAATACTTCACCTCTAACGCCCGGGCAGCGCGGACCGACGGCGGGTCGAGGTCGTTGCTGTAGCGGAGGTCCAGGTGATGAGCGCCGTCGGGAATCATGATGGAGATCAGAGAATCCGTGATGTTGTGAGTCACTCCGCCGGCGGACCACGGATCCAGTCCTCCGTTACTGGAATTCAACATGCAGAGACGTGTTCGATGAGAATCCGACACAACATTGTTCATAATTAACAAACTCGCATCATGGGGGACTTGTGGTATAATTAAAATGCTTTGTACACGATAGCATCAGGATGTAAACAGTCACAACGTGTTTTGTGAGCTGTCGGTGTACTGTGGTATCTAATATTTATGTGAAAACAAGTTACGGAGAAGAAAAAAACACGAGGACAGCAAATAAAGTATAAAAATATGTATTGTATTATGTATAAAATAAATGTTAAAACTGCCAGAAATGGTGAAAACAGAAAGAATTGTCAACTTTTCAACTTTCCAGTGGTCCTTGAACTACTCACCTGTGAGCTGTGGTTCTATTTCAACACCAAGTCTAAGTTCAAAGTCAAGATATTTGACCAAAATCATTTATTTCTACATGCTTCATCAAAAAATAAGCCAAAAATAAACTGAGAGCAGCAACCATCCATCCATCCATTATCTCTACACCGCTTAATCCTCACTAGGGTCGTGGGGGGCTGGAGTCTATCCCAGCTGACTCAGGGTGAAGGCAGGTTCACCTAGACAGGTCACCAGTCTATCACAGGGCTACACTTAGAGACAGACAACCAAGCACACTCACATTCACACCTACGGACAATTTAGAATCACCAATTAACCACAACATGTTTTTGGACTGTGTGGGAGGAAGCCAGAGAACCCGGAGAGAACCCACGCTGCACGGGGAGAACATGGAGACTCGACGCAGAAAGATCCCCAGTGTCCTCACCGGGACACGAACCGGCGACCTTCTAGCTGCGAGGCAACGGTGCTAACCACCGAGCCACCTTGCAATCAGAGCAGTAACCAGATTCAACAAAATACTGTAAGAAAAATTCTGGACTTTTTGGGCAAACTGAGCTGAATTGCAGGTTATGGAAACAAGTTAAAAATGTAAGTAGTAAAATATGTATAATCTGTAAAGTCAACATTTTTTCTATATTGGAAACAGTTTTAGACATTTGGAAAAATGTTGTACATGTTAACTGCAACTTTCAAATTTTGTAAAAATCAATCAATCAATAAACTGAATAATTTCGCTTTTACCTTCTTATAATTTATGGCACAACTGTGTCACACTGTACAAAACACATTTCTCTCTACTTCCAGCCATAGTTGTGCTGTTTCAGTAGAGATGCAGGACTTTCTAGTGTTTAAAAAAAAAAAAGAGTCCACAGTGAGTAAAACTGTATCAGAAACAAACAAACAACAAAAAAGAAAGTGCATGAGGTTCAGAGCAGCAGAAGAGATAAAAGGTGTTGAGAGAACAAAACACAACTAAACCACTGGCGTTGCTGATGACTGCCAGATACCAAAGGTCGCTTTCAGAGCTCGTATCAAATTGCAGGCTGCCAGACCTTTTAATAGCTGAACAAACGCTGCATTCATTGTTATATGGCTCACTTTGTGCTTCTGATTGAGCTACAGTCATACAAGGTCTGCATACCTTTGTCTACCTCCTGTTGCTACCCATGTGAGGAATCTTAATTTGCCCGCAGTAAAAAAAAAATTAATCAACATCTGCATTTAAATTGCTCACTCAGCCAATACAATGCAAGCGATGCTCACCTGAGGATGATGTTGCTGTGAGAGGCGATCTCCTTTCCCCCGAAGACCGTTCCCGCCCAATCGGCCCGCGGCCGGACGCCGAACATGGTGTTGCACCAATCAGAGAAGGCCTGGAAGTTCCACTCCTCGGGTTCAAACATGTCCTGCACGCCATCTGTACACATGGGCATCACCATCTCCGTGCAGGCCTGAGGAAGACGGATTGAACACGTATTCGGTCTGACAGGTAAAGCTGCCCGCTGACACCTCTTGTGCACCAATTTATTCAGCATGACAAGACCGATCCCGGCGCTCCGCTACGCACCTGGTAGGTCCAGCCGAGCTCACCGAGGCTGCTGGTCGCTGTCTGAGACGTGTTGAGACAGGAAGCGCTTCCGGTGTAGTTGTAGTAAACCTTGGCTGCCTGGGAGACTCCGTGCAGCAGCTGTTGGTCGGACACGGCGGAATCGAACCCGAGATGCTTGCACACCACCTTGAAAATAAATGTTAAAAAAAAAAAAAGGCAAAACAAATAGAATTAATTAGCAGTTTAATTACATCACAGCTCAGGTTAAGCTATTACATCTATTAAAAACTCCATGCATTTTTTAGAATAGCAATAAAGAGGAAAATGAAAATAACTAATTCCCCTACATGCGAGTTGTTTACAAGGCTGAAGATTGCTTTTTTTTTTTTTTCGTGGCCCATAAAGTGTTTTTCCACATAAAAAGTGGTGGCGCCTGATTTGCATATGAAATTCCCTGGAATGAACTTGAATTTATCGCCCTGCTCTTGGCACTGGAGGAGAGAGAGCCCATTTACTTAAAGCCAATGATCTAAATGATTTAAAATTTAAAGATTTCGCTCTCATTACCATTGTTTTTTTTTCTCCTGGCCACGGCTGACTCGCGGAATTAATAGCGTGAATGATAAATATTTGGGGTTTCAGCTCTTGTTTGATTTCGCTGCGTGTTGTTATGGTTGCAGCGGCAGAGCTGGCCGCGGCTGTTGTTCTGCGCTCTTTGTGAAGCGGAGAAACTGGGCTTTCTTGTTTGGAGGTTGGAGGGGAGCTGCACTAGTGTGGAGTCTGTTACTAAGGCTTTTGTCTGCGGGCCGGGGAGGAGTTGGTGGTCGATGGATGAGGAGGGCCACAGACATGTCCAACCAAAGATTTATACTGTGGAAAAAAAAAAACACACTGCAATAGCTCCAAAGCATCTTCTCCTTACTTTTCAGATAGGATTAGGCTTATACATTCATCTCTGCCAACAGATTTCCCTCCTCTAAGCCCTCAATACCCCGTTCTCACACTCACTCAGATAATCACATTAGCTTTGTCATTAAAAAAGCTCCTCTTTGCACCCACTGCCTAAACCGCTTAAACCACCCATAGGGGTCGCATACATTAAAGGCAAGGAGCCAAAAAAAAAGCAAAAAAGCTCAAAATGACCATTTAGTGTTTATTTCACCTAACGTGATGCTCCGGGATCCATTCAGGGGTTTAATGAGTGATGAGTGAAAAATGTATCCCACTAGTGGAGGTTTAACTATGAGGCTCCTGTGTGGGCCCCTCGGATGGGGGTTTCCAAGCTCCAAAACAGAGAGTCGGGGGGTCAATAGCAGGGCTTGGTTTGTACACGTGACGTGCCAAGGTGACTGCTAGAATACACTGCAGCCCCAAGTCAATCAGCCCTCCGGAAAAACAGCCGCCGCGCTGTCACAAGCTCGTTTACATGAAAACAAAGGGCATCTTGTGAAGAAAAATGTTTCAAACCGGCGCTGCAGTTTGTTTTTTTTTACTCTTCCTGTGATTACTTTTTTTTTTCGCATCAAGTGTCTAGTTAAGTATTTGTTACAGTCCCATTGAGACTCAGAGTGGCCAACTTTTTTGTCGTCCTCTTTCCGCGGCGCCAACGCGAGCGTCCGAAACAGGAACACCTCGGAGATCTGACGGAGCGTGCGAATGAAAGGGACTCATTGGTACGAGAGAAGAAAAGAAACGGTGGCTCACTTGTAGCTGCTCATCTAAAGAATACTTAAAATCTAAAAAGGAACTAGATCCTTATGAATATTGATGAAGTTTAGTTGACAGCTGTTGTAAACAAAAGCTTAGAAGACCACAACAAACACTTGTAACACAATCGGCTGAATCACGCATTCATTTCAATTAAGGGCAGCCTGTCAGGCCAAATTAGGCGCTTAAGCAAAGACAAACACAATTCAAAGTAGCGATAAAGTAAGAAACTTTTGACAGAAAATGAATATAACATTAACTAAAACTTCTGTTTTCCTAGAAAGAAGCCACTGACACGCCCGGTTTTCAAGGTGCTGATTTGAATTTTAAGTATTTTTTTTTACTACCTGGATCGGCCAGCGAGGCAGCGGCTGGAGGAAATTAGCTTCGTAAGGGTAGTCCACCATGGCCAGGTTGACCCAGGTCTCTTGGAGCCAGCTCTTGAAGCCAATGGCGTCTATCGCGTTTTTAAGAGGAGCACACAAGCTGAATTCTTCTGACAGCCACTGAAGACCGGACGCTTGACAGGAGAGAGCAAAAAGAAAATGATTAAATGAGTAATTCCTCTTCAATGTGAGCTGCATCATCCACATCATCACACTAAAATGTATGGTTTTCATTATAACTAAAAGGGAATAATGTTTATTTTATTGGTATTGAACAACAACAGCTCCCACAAGTAGCTGCGAAATACTAATAAAATATCCTTTAATTTATCTTGGTTAAAATGACAAGCTGCCCAGACTTCACTATTCGGGACAATTTAATTTCAAATACACACAGAAAACTTCAGGATCCCATCGGAGGTGACAGAAATCCCTTGGAGAGAAAAAAACAAATAAAACTGAAAGCTGTAGTGGATCAGAGGATAATTTAGGTAGAGCAGCGCTTCCACTAATTAAAGATAAAGATAAAGATAAAGATAAACTTTATTCATCCCGAAGGAAATTGTTTTGCCAGAGTACAGTTAAATTCCAAATAAGAATAAAAATAAAAGTAAAAAATAAAAGTAAATAAAATAAGAATACAAGTACCAGAGAAAATAAAGGCCACCAAAACAAGTTCCTGTGAGAAATACTTCATGTTTTAGACATAGCATTTAATCAAATAGCAAATTTTACTTTGATTACGAGTCTTTGGTTGGTTCCACAAACATCACAACTTTTTTTTCCCATTCGTTAGAAGTTTCCAGGACTGATTCGCACATTTACATAACGTACCGAGCATCATCCATCTATCTGTTGTTTCTGGGTCCCCGTGATCAAATAAAACCAGCTACATTCAGGCTGTTTTCCCTGAACTGCGTTTCAGCCGATAATGACAAATACGAGGCTGTTTAAATACTTGCTTACTCGCACTATAATGCGAACACAATTGATCGACACCGTGAATTCTCAATGCGGCTCCTTTGTGCACCGATGAACGTTTTGTCTCTGCACGGTCGAACGTTTCTCCGCAAACTAATTAATAAAAACTTACAGACTGTGACATATTTCTCCTCCAGGTTTTAGCATTTTGTTGGAGATGTTATTAAAGTGCAGAAAAGTGGTGAGAGAAAATTTGGCAGCACTTTTGAACGAGGTATAGTTTTATACAGGACTTAAAAGCTGCAACTTTATCATTCATTCATACCAAGAGATCAGCTTTAACCCACTAATAGGAACAACTTTTTGCTGTCAGGTTGTGAATAATCCTCTTCTAGCACAACTGTTAAATTGGTTTATCATTATGTTAGTTAATCCAGAACATCGTTTTGTGTCCGTGGCCACCGTCAGACAAATACGACAAAAGAAAAACCCACACTGTTGTTTGTTGACAAGACAGACATGAAGAAATGTCGTGACCACCAGTGATCAAAAATCAAATAAATGCCACGAGCACAACAGGGATTTGTTCAACAGAGCTGAACTGGGAGTTGCCTTCTAGATAGTAGCATCTTACTGTCGTCCTCAAATGTATTCATACCCAACAGCTGTCACTGAAATTAGTTGAAGTTGACAAAAGTAATAATAAATAAAAATGTAATGAAAATCATGGCATTGCTTTTGAATTGTGGTTCAACAGAAATTTAAAAAACACACTCAAGCAAACAAGCATGATGGGACCCGTGAACTAATATTTAGCTGACCAACCCTTTGAGCTGCCATCAAGTGTTTTCTGTAACTCTCCATCAGACTTCTGCACCTGTTGACAGGTGTTTGGATTTCACTGCTCATCAGCAAAGGGCTCTAATTTGTTCAGGGCAATTTTGTTGTTGTTTTTTTTTAATTATTCTTTTCAACCACAATTCAAAAGCAACGTCTTATTTCACTAAATTATAATTTAACAAATTTTTATTTATTATTACTTTTTTCAGTTTCTAGTTATTTGAGTGACTGTTGTGAGTTTCGCCTTT